AAAACAAAACGAATTCTTTATTGGAATTTTCTTATATGTCGTTTTTAACGGTGGATAGCTAACAGTTACGTACTGAAACATCTATTTTATTTTGATATAATGTGTTTATATGCTTAAAAGCACAGAATTTTCCAGATAAAAAATCAATAAAATACGTATCATTTCTAATTTTTTGGAAGAAATTATTTTTTATTTTTATAGGCATGAAAATTTTGTGATCAGTTCTATTTGTGGTTAGTTCTATTATTATTACTACAGTTATAACAGAATAAAACATTTATATCCTATATATTATTTCTAAAAGGTGTTTTTTTGTCGGTAGGACATAACTTCGTCAATTCTTCATCAAATCCAATGATTGACCACTCACTTTGAAATATTCTTTTCCTTCACATGCGAAAAATAGCTCTATCCTTTCGAAATTTCTGGAAAAAAAGTTATGAAGAAAAAGAAACTTTAATCGCGAAGAACTCAAAAAGTATGCATTTTTTTTCTTGGTTGTGCCCATGATAATTAGAAAGATTACTAAATTACCTACAAAACAAAAAAAAAATCGTAAAAATAGATTAGAAATATGTATAATTTAAACAATTTGTATGGACGGAAGGAGTAAAGTGTGTTGAAATATTTTTTTAAGGAGAAACAGTTTTTTTTTTTAAAGAGAGTTGAGATTTGTATTTCGCAGCTCGAAAGACCCTCGAATACGAATTTTCATTGCGATCGAAAAATAATTTTTTTTTTTTCTACAAATTTGACCTAAGGCTTTGATCCTTTGATCCCCGATTTGATTCTATTTCGGAAAACGTAAAAAGTGTTATAACTTGAATATATTTCCACCTATTCACACGAAATTTTGCAGGGATATACGGCCTTGAAAATTACACGAAATGACGCAAACTTCCTACCTAATTAATTTAGAACTCAAGTTATAAAATAAAAACCTGTTATTTATTTATTTATTTATTCTTTATAGATGTCTTAAATAAAAAAATATTTATACAGTCTTGAAGAGCGACAATTCAGCTTTCCAACGGTTGTAGAAACATGGAATTGGTATAAAATTCTGAGGAGTTATGAATGTTTTCGTTAACGCCATGGAAAAGCATCATAATGAAAAGTGAAGTCGTTGCCATGACGACTATCTCAGCACAGTTCTTCTGTGCTATATAGTATTTCTAAAAGATGTTTTTTGTCGGTACGCCATAACTTCGTCAACTCTTCATCGAATCCAATGATTGACCACTCATTTTGAAGATATTCATCTCTTTCACATGCGAAAAATAGTCCTATCCTCTTGAAATCTCTGTGAAAAAGAAACTTTATTCGTGAATAACTCCAAAAGTATGCGGTTTGTTTCTTGATTGTACCCATGATAATTAGAAAGATTACTAAATTGCCTGCAAAACAAAAAACAAATTGTAAAAATCGGACAATTATTAACAAAGATACAGTCCATTAGTTTTGTCATTCTTAATAATGTCTTCCTGTCTAAAGATATTGCATTTAGGAGTAGAATAGTCTACTACACTTTTTTTCCTGGCTGGTATATTACCTTTATTATTTCTTAAAGGTATTAGTTTGTTCTTACATTTTGGTTTTTTAATAATTTAGAAAAGCCCATGATTGGGGCATTATTTGGTTTTATTATTTTCATTATCATTCCAGTCAGCGTTTAAAAATAGTTCCTAGCAAAGCAATTTGTACAAATATTTTGGTCTATTGTGTTAAATGAAATGTTGTAATCGATCAAGGAAAAAATGTTAATTCCTTCCTCACATAATATCTTGGATTTACCTATTTCCATATTGTTTTTCAAATTTCTTCACTAAACCAAATTTTCTGCGAATTATTCGCACGGGCCAACTAGTATTTATAAATACTATTGGTAAGGATAGAGTACACCGGAATGGATCAATCGAGTTAACTATAGACAGAGGCGAAAAAAGAGAAAGCATTGTTTATTCCGACCTTTAATTGTATAATGATAACCCTAGGAAACCAATTTGTGATGTTCTTGACCTCTTAGCGTTTCAGTTACGAAAAAAGTTCTTTCTTATTATTTATTCCAACTCCTGAAATAGTCGTATTAGGTTGTTTTCAAAACAAATTGGTCACATTGATTTTCATCATTTCATACATTATCATTAGTCGTTTCAAAGTTGGGTAAAAAAAATTGTTCGTAATTTATCATGGATGATAGCCAAGACGCAGTCACTTTTTAAGCTTTCTATTGTTACCAAGATTACGGGTCATCAGAGCATGTTACCAGCACTGAAGGTATTCGTGTACTGTTCAAGTACATGCCCTGATGATGACCTACGTGCTTGGGTTGTAATGTTTGATAATAATAAAAACATTAAAAACATACTGCATCCTCGCTATCACCCATGATATGTAGAACAGTTGACTAACTTCCTTCAATAGTTCGTAATTATTTTTAAAATGTCGTGCCTCTAATGCTGCAACAATGCAACTACCACTCAAGTGTTTGCCTTTTTATATCATTTTTAATCCCCATACCAGATTGAAACGACTAGAAACCACCCGACGTTTTCGACTACTGCAGAACTCACTAGACAAACGCTCTAAGATTTCAATCAATTACACACGACTCATATGTATGACAATAACAAGACCTATTTGGACTTACGGAATTGAGCTTTGTGGCTCCACTAAACCATCGAATTCCTCTCGTATACAATCCTTACAATCCAAAATCCTTCGTAAAATCCTCAACGCTCCTTACTTTGTCACAACTAAAATCATCCATAAAGATCTTAATGTTCCATATGTTTCCGATTTGGCCCAATCCAGATACCTATCCTTCCATAACAAACTGCAGAGCCATCCGAACCCTCTCGTTTCAAACCTTGCTTCCTCCTGATAACCCCCCGAGGCCTCTGAAAAGAAGATGGCCTCGGGACCTTCTAATATACAGCTTTAATTTGAGTTCTACCAATGGGTACTTTCTCTTCATGTTGTACATGTCATGTTACCAATGTCACATTTACTTGTTGTATTTCTCATGTAATACAGTTGTAAATTTCATTAAAATAAAAAAAAATAAGAAATATCATTTTTAGTCGTATTTTTAAAAAAATAATAGCTCATGGTACTGTATCGAGGAGTTTACTACTACTTGATGACTTACCTCCGGTTCTGCATTGCAAACATTGCCTCCTTTGTCGTATCGTTCTTGTGCGACTGTCATCCAATTTCGACCCTGAGGATCTTCATAACATTAGCCTTAGCATTATCAGCCCACCTCACCTTGTTCTGAAGAGGAGCAGGGGCTCTGTCAACAGCGTTTTGATATTTGTGTATCTGAAAGACCGGTCCACCTTATTCGTCCTATATCCATAATAAATAGCAGCTGTTTCTTGGAAAAGGCAATAAACGTTTTGATTTGATCATCCGCGTCAATCTTGGTCAGTTCTAACTGCTCCAAATATTCATCAGATAATCATTTTCTCGAGTACTTCCTATTCTTGTTCATTAATCTTTGGCGTGTCGTATAAGTAAGTGTTTTATATTGATGCACTTTGGTCTTTCTTGATAGCCTATAGGTCTCTAAGGCCACAGTAGCAGTTGTTGGCGGCCAAAATTTGATGCATAATCTTTATCTTAGGAGCATTATTTTATTGTTTTACGTTACCAGTAAGCCAACATACACAAACTCCGCTGAGGGATTAAGTGGACCATTTTATATGCGTTTTAGAAGAAAGGTTTTGGAGTATATATATATATTTCTCTGCTTCATTTCAGCACCTCCTGCCGCTCCCTTTCGGCCAAATGAAATGAAATTTGTTATGTATAGTTCTTTCAGGGGAGAGAGTGAGCTTTAGCACTAGCGGATCCAGAATTTAATTTTGGGGGGCTTCAGCCCGAAAGATTTTTTTTTCGTATACATTTAACGAAAATTATTTTTTAAAAAAAGAAAGAAATTAACTACCTATATGAAATGGTGTTTAAGTGGTAATTATTAAATGTAATTAAACGAACAAGAATACTTTAAGAGGTTGTTTTTAATATTTTTTTCTTTATATTTTACCATTTTGGGGGGACTTCAGCCCGAAAGCTCCCCCCCCCCCGTAGATCCGCCTGTGAGCTTTAGGGTAGAAGCACCTCCAGAAGATGTTATCATACAAATGTGAAATTTTGTTATCATGTCTTATGAAAAAAAAAATTAAAATATCTCTAAAAGTATTAATGTTCGTTTAATTACATTTAACAGGACTATCAAGAATCACTCAAACACCATTTCATATAGGTAGTTAGTTTCTTTATTTTTCTTCTCATTTAATTATCGTTGTATATATAAAATAAAAAGCTTTCGGGCTAAAGCTCTCCGAAATTAAATCTTGCATTCCGCTAGTGCCAGGAAGAACAATACTATAAAGATTTGGGTAATAATTCGGTATGCCCAAATAGTTTTTAACATTAGCGTGCCTCCTTTGTTATACATTTATAATCTATAAATATACCCGAATAGTTTAGTTTATAATATATTAAAAGAGCGTTGAACTTTTAAAAATTTAATAGCATTACTGGTGGAGCTGTAAGTGAGTTGATAGGCTTAAGTGGTAGCACACTAGCTGAATTAGCATCGTTTACTGGATGCATCTTCAGCTCTTTAAAACTCTATAATTCGTGTCTGTAGCTCACAAAGCTTCTTATAATAGTTATCTAATTGTCTGTATTATTGAAATCTATACTTCTATTTTGTATTAAAAATATATAAATTCGTGGGTCCTTATTCCTTTTTTCAACAGCCCTTCTAAGACCACTTATACATCGTTTTATTTAGGTAGTTCCATTATTTTACTTCCCGAGTATAAATCATTATAAAAAAATAACAAAAGTGAAATCATCAATCCTATATTTCTATTAACTATTAAAATTATGTGAATGAAAGTAGAGAATGTTAAAAACATTTCATTTTGAATTTTAATCCTTAGTATTAATTCATTTAAAAAAAAAAATAATGTCAAAATACATACTTCATTCTTAGGATCCTCAATTCGTGGTATTCTTTTATTCTTTCTTTTAGTGGAATGAGCAATTGCTTTCTTTTCGGAGGAAGTAGGTGCATTCTAAGAGAATGAACTTAGAAGCTGGGTCATGCTGAAGACGATGGGGTAGTTAGTGCCCAATAGCCAGTTCGTTGGGTTCACACACAAGTAAATATAGTAATAATGTAGGAATGACAGAAAAATGTTTGGGTCGTTCTCGCAATGATATTCTTCGTTAATTCTTTGGAAGAGGAAGATTTACTTCAACTTCTTGATTTAATAACACAATAAATTAAAGGATTAATTAATTTATTTAAAAAGAAAGTTGGAATTAGGTCATGCAACGATCGTAGATTGGACTTGAACCACATCAAGATCGTTTTGTTCGCTACTCCTAAATTACTGAAGACGATTCCGATATACTCCATTGTGGGCTTTATCAATGTTGCCAATCCCATACAGAAAGGAAACTTTTACAGTTCCTTAATGAATTTGACAATACAGAAACATTTCTTTTTTAACTTACACTTTATGGTACTACTGTACTACACTCTCACTCAACCAAACCTGTTATATGAAAGAAAGTAAATAATACCAGCGCATTTCGTTACCCTCTTTTTGAACCGAATAATTCAATGCAATGCAATACGTTTATTTTCGCTTGTAGGCTATTGTCTAACGGTCTTCACGCTGGTCTTCTTCAGCCCACTGAATTCAAATTCATCTCATCCTGAGTTGATAGACAGTATTGTATAGCTGTATACTTAAATGTTTTGCATTTTTTTTTTATATTAACAGATGACTGAATTTTTGTCAACTAAAATAATTAATTTGATTTCTAAATTATTAATGCAAATTTATTTTTTTTTTTTAATGAAAAGAAAGAAAAGTACCAACCGTGCTCCCTCTTGTAGGAAACAAAAGAAGAAAAAAAATCGTCCACGTAAATCGGCGTCAGAATCATCTCAAGAATCCGAAGATCATGAATCCAAAAGTGATGATTGGTTAGAATATGACAAATCCGTTAAAGATGTCACATCAGTTGATGGTTACTATTCGACTGAAGATGAGGAATCAGCTGATGATACAATCAGTAGCAAAGAAGGAAGTAGCATTACGAAGAAAAGTCGCCTGAAGACCATAATGACTTTTGTACCCTTTCTTCGAAAATGTGGTATGTCGACTGTCCTGTCTTACAAATTATGCTCAGAGTATTCTTTAAAAGGATAAAACTGACAAATCTTGAGAAACGTATTAGTAAAATAATACTGTTTTTAACTTTCATTTAAACAGTTTTTATTTTATGTTTGGCAATAACGAATTGATCCGTTAACATTAATTCATTTTAAGTGATCCGTAAATTTGGAAAAATACCAATTTACACATTGGCTTTTGTTTGAAACATATTTCAACGTCAACACATGTTGAAATTGAAACGATGCTATCATAAATTTAATCTGTGTTCTCATACGTTCTTACTTATTATTGTATAATTATGATTCGAAGGGTACTCTCCAGACCGAGAATCGAAAGCAGTGCAGCGGGGGCTTTAGGGCTGGGCAATCGTCCCGGAGCCCCGACCTGCAGGGCTTCCCGTTGGGGGGGAAGAATAAGGGGGCTCCCGTTGGGGGCGCCGCCCGATCTTCAGGGACGCTTGCCAATTGTTAGAAATTAGTAAAAAATACTCTCTTTCACTAGTTAACAGTTGTCAAAAATAAAGAGAAACATAAATTAAAAATATTCAACGTATGAAAGTTAAGATGATTAATTTTAGTCTATCAATAAAGCAGCTGTATTAGAGAAAATCGAATGAAATACAAATCAAACAATGCATAATTTAAAATATCTTAAGAAATAAATTTAATTTTTTTTTGGGCGCTTGATGACATCATTGTCCTGGGGCGCTGAATGTCTAAGGCCGGCACTGATCAAATTTTGGGCGAATGATAGAAATAATGTGCACATCCTTTGTAGGTCGATAGTACGGTGACAGATGAGGTAGTGATGGACGAGCGTGTTAAAGCGTAAACTTTAGCATTCTCTAACCCAACGACGCTGGTTCGATTCCTGTCAGGGCGATTAAAAATTTATTCCCTGGCTTTCCCACCGAGTGAATTTCTACCTTTCCATTCTGGTTAAAATAGGTTTAGTTATTCCTCTAGAGCTACTCCCATATGTCAAAAATGGCGAAGTAGTGATACCGAGAAATAAAACAGTAGGATAACATAAAATCAAACTTTGTGGTTAACAGGAAATTTAATAAGAAATGCATATAATTGAATCAAGTTATATCCATAACGACCTTAGTGTTCCTTATGTTTCCGATTTAGCCCAATCCAGATACCTATCCTTCCATAATAAACTTCAGAACCATCCAAACCCTCTCGTTTCTAACCTTGCTTCCTCTTCAATTCCTGATAACCCTCCGAGGCGTCTGAAAAGAAGATGGCCTCGAGATCTTCTATTGTAAATACATCTTTTTGTTTTAGAGTGCTACTGTAAAATTATTATTATTTTCTGTTATCACAGTTACTGAATGTATTTTTTTTTCTGAATACAGTTGTAATTTTCATAAATAAATAACTAAAAAGTTATATTCCCAGCTTACTGACAGGTATCTAGTCCAGGAACCCATGCAGATAAAGATGACTTATTTTACAAAAACTTTCACTTATTTCAAGCAAGTAGGGTAGATATACTGGTATACCCAGAATGTCAGTTTTTGAAGTGCGAAAGAATTTGAGGAACGAAATATAATAAAAGAAATCTGGTGCGCGCAACTCACAACTTTCACTTTCCGCTCTATTTTGAATAGACATTATTTTCAAGCATTGTTGGGCTATTATAAAAATTATTTATGTATAACATCATATCTAGAGTTATTAAACTACAGTAAATGTATTTAATGTTATAAACATATTCATGAAATATTATTATATTTCACTTCTTCTTTCATACAAGTACATTATAATTTTATTATATTTGGATAAATGTAAAAGGAGGGAGTGGGTGGCTAAGCACGGTCTGTCCAAAGCTGTCGAACATTTAGCCTGCAGGCGAGAAAAAAATACGGCCTATCAAAATTGTAAGGTTTTTTTAGTTTTTACAGTTATTGATTTATAACTCTAAACTGGTGATTACCTGAGAAAATGCACCCATTATAGAATATTAAATTCTGTTTCGAATGACCACTAGCGGATTCAGGATTTAGTTTTTATGTGGGGGAGGGGGAGGGAAGGATAAGGCTTCAGCCCGAAAGATTTTTTTTAAAAATAAATAACAATAATTACTTATGATTTATTGATTTCAGTTTAGTTTATTTTTTAATAAATTCTTGCCGTTTATCGTAGGATTTCTTTCATAAGCATGGTTTATTTTTCCACTACAATTTTTACAACTCTATATTTAATCAAGTTGTTATTAAGAAAAAGCAAGCAATCAACTATCTTAGGAGGGGTATGCGAAATCTTTTGAGGAAGATGGAAGGCAGCTCTAATGCACATGAAATGAACGCTATGTGATAAATGGTATAGCGCAATTTCAATGCGTTGCTACAATTAATATTTGAAAATCTTTAACATTAAAAATGTATCGGAAAATATTTTGAATCGCATGTGTTGCTTAAATGTGTTTAAATGCAACGTTATGCCAAAATCTCAAGGCAATGGGTGAAGAACTTTCTGAGATTTAAGAATTTAAACAACCAAACATTTACATTTTTACTTGCCACAAAATCAACACAAGGTTGTTATTATGTTTAAACAATACATTAAACATTTAAAAAAATTAAATTAAATTAAATATGAAAATATATGAGTGGCTTGATACCAAAGGAGGGATCTCTGTCATTTTCAAAAATCGGAGATAAAGTCCAACTCAGACTGTTTCTGATGATTAAGAATGGCAGCGTATTCACTCACATGATTACGAATGTTCAAGTCGAATCATGAAAAAAAAATCATTGAATTAGTTTAAATTGTAGCCATTTTACAGACAAATTTATTTCCCAACTTATTTAAAAGATGACAGATGTCCTTTGGTATTAATCCACTCATATGTGCTTTCTATTTTCTTTCTTTTCCATTTTGCCAGACTAAGCCACAGCAGCGCTGAAATATATATTTCAAGATATATTTGTAAACAAATAAAGAAATAATAGCAGGCTAATAGAAACTAATACATTTTTATTTTCCTAACGCTAGGTGAAGTATTGTAATCCGGTCAAATTTTCGATTTGCGGTTTTCAACGGATCTCTATGTTTCAGAGTCCGTTGAGTCCGAAAAACGCATTTTCAGCCATTGTCTGTGTGTCTGTGCCACCATTATCCTGTGAACTGGATGTCCTATTTTTTTGCTTCTTTTTTTTCGTAAGGTTTCGACCAGCGATGTCTGTGAAAAAAAATCTGGTCATCCCTACACAATATGAGAAAAACTCTTTTTTTTTTGTTTCTTTCACTGTAGGGCCAAAATGGCTGTAACCAATTTGATGAATTCCTCATAACAAAAAAATCATCGAAATCGAAGCATTATTAGCAAGGATACAGCGCATTCGATTTTCTAAACATGTTTAATATGTGTTTTTTACGTGAGTATTTCTCTTAAAACCAAAAATATAAATTAACTGGTTCTTAATATTTTTTTTTATTGGCAAATGGTGGAAGGCAGCTGGAGGAAGACCAGTTGGCAGGTGGCTAACACTTACTTGGGCAAATTCTTCTTAGCTTCCCAACCAGGGAAAAACTCTTTCCTGTTGTCCAACATGGCTGATTTTGGTTTATTATTTTCAATAATCAACCATTGTGATCGACCAAAAAATTCGAAAACTTAACCTCCTCTCAAAATTTGAGGTTTCATATTTCAGGACGCGTAGAATTCGAAAAACGAATACAAATTTTTTATCCGTCCGCCGTCCGCGCATTTTCTCCGAAACTACTGGGCCGATTTTTTTCAAATTTTGATATAAATCAGAGGTCACCCGAGGATGATCCTCCTTCATCGACATTACTCTCCGCCTTTAACTTTCAAAATAGCGGCCGAAAAACCTGCGTTGCTATAGACTGTAGCTCCTAAACGAATGTACAGATTTCAATGTAACTTCGCTAAAGTCATTTTCTCGACGCCCTTATTGTGATGAGATGTTTCAAAGGTTTTTAAATTTCCTAAAAAATGAAGGAAGTTTCATCGAAATCAAAGCACTATTATTAGAGATATCGCGGTTTTTACATATTTTTGGTTTATTATTTTCAATAATCAACCATTATGATCGACCAAAAAATTTAAAAACTTAATCCCCTCTCAAAATTTGAGGTTTATTTTTGTTGATATTGTATATAGTTTTTTAAAAGTTTACGAAATTTCCTAAAAAAAAAAAAATATCTTTAAAATCAGACAATTAGGAGCAAAGATATGGTCTCCGGTTTTTTTTTATATGTTCTACTCCAAATGTTATATCCTTGGTTTGGTTTTTAAATTTTGAATGTGTTACTGAACTAATGCTATTTTTTTTTTTTAGCATATTACTAATGATTAAAGAAAAACAGTTTAGTCCAATAATTGGAATCACCTTTTGTTTTTTTTCTTTGTAACTCGGAAGGTAATGTTACTTTAGATGTATAATTGTTTGGAAATAATAAACCATTGTGAAATAATTTGCAGCGTTTTTTATATTGGTCATTCTCGCCAGACATATCAGACTGAGGTTTTCCAAAACTGCAAATTTTTGCAAAGAACTTACTTTAAGATGGTTGATGTTTATTTATATTTAATATGTACAGTCAGGGGTGCCCAGAAGGGGGTTTCATGGCGCCAAGTTGCGCCATCAACATTTTTTAGGGGAGCACATTTTGGCGGGGTTTTGAATTTTTGAGGGGGCACATTTCGACGGGTGTTATGAATTTTTGGATTAAAAAGTTTCAAACCAGTGGACAAGAGAAAAGTTTAGCACTGACCACTGAAAGTGTAGTTCTATAAGACCTATGATTTTTTAAACTTTACCTTACCTCACCTTACTTTACCTTTTAAAACTTGAACTGTTTTTAAGAAGAGAAGGAAATAAAATATACTAGGAGGAGGGATGGGAGGATCATGCACCATCAACCTTGGGGTGGATGTGCACCCCTGTGTACAGTTCAAGTATCTCATAAACTTCAGTGATTTTGAAACAAGATATGGTTGAAACAAATATATAAACTATTCCTGTCTTATTTAAACTAAACTTAAAATTAATTTTAAAAAAAGTATCTTTTTTATAAAAATATTATAGTGCTCTATACAACCCTACAAATTATATTAAAATATTCCGATTTAAGCTAATTTCCCTTCAAGTAAAAAATAATCTACTTTATTCTTATCTCCTAAGTTTTATATCGCATTATTTTTCAAACCTCCTTTCATTCATACCTAGCAGATCATAAATACACTCACCATAAATAAATAAATAATTCCTTTAAAACTTTTTCATTTATTTGTTTTTTGCTCCTTGATTTGTTTACTAGTATATATATCCGTTTAGGCACTGCAGTCCAATGCTACACATCAGTTGCATTGTCATTATTTATGCAACTTTCTCCTTGTTAAAGCCTCGACCACAAAAATGTAGGTTTGGCACTAGTTTATCTCATAAACGAGTGGAAGTCGACAACTCTACCCACAGCACAAATAATTTTGATAATCATTATAATGCCACTCAATAAAGATGTATAGAACAACAGTTTCTTGTTCCTACTGGGGTACTTGAAAGTGAATAACATCAAAATAGAGCTAGTCATAAATAACACTATTTATTTATCAGAGGCAAACATCAAAAATGTGCATCTATGAAGTCAAGACTGTTACATAACATTGGTGTATTACATAGATACCTGAAAATATCTAAATTAGCACAAATGATTTTTCCTAACTTTAATGCAGTATGTATAAAAATTTTTCTAAATTTAATTTGGAAGAAAATTTAATCTGCTAAAGCTTTACTATCAGATGATGTGGAACAAATAACCTTTGAATATCCTGAAGAATTTGGAATTTATTTATATTTTGATCTTTTGTAGGTGGCTGCTGTAAATTTCTATGGTTCATAAATTGTATTTGAAATGAATTATATCCATCTAAATTGTATTTATTTTAAGAAGTATACCTTAATCATAATAAAATTTATATCAAGACTATAAAACTTTAGCATTAAGAATTATTATAATATATATATATATAGTAATAATATATAGCCAGGTATGGGAAAGAGAGAACAAGATAAATGAATAAAAGTTCCTATATATATATATATATATATATATATATATATATATATATATATATATATAGGAACTTTTATTATGTATAATAAAAGTTTTATATATATATTTATTTATATATATATATATATATAGGAACTTTTAATCATTTATCTTGTTCTCTCTTTTCCATACCTGACTTACTCCCATATCCTTAGTTTGTTTCCTCCCTCCTGCAACATGTCTATGTGTGTTTGGTATTAAAGAGGTGTTTGTGTAAATATCATAGTTATTTTCTATGATCCAGTCAAACAATACTAGGGAGAGTTTGGCTAGTAAAATCATACCCCAGATGTCCACAACCCATGGTACAATATATACCGGTTGACATGGTAGATATTTTATACAATATGCCTATTATATTCTATTTCTAATGACCAATAAAACTTTATTCATAAAATTCTACTATTTTAACCGAGTCCTGAATAGATCCAGCAACCTTCTCCCATGCTCCTGTCTTCAGGTCCTGCCCTTTAGGCCCTGTCTTCAAGCCTACATTCCTTGGCTGATTGCCATCTTGGAGACATGTGAGATGTGTGAGTGTGAGAGAGAAAGAAAGACTAGTTAGGTACTTAAACCACATATCGCTACTGTTAGTGCTGAAGGTTGTATGTAAAAATTGAGTTTTTCTACAGAAGATCATAAAAACCAATTATTTCCTGGTGATTTATCAGTATAATTTCATATTTTATTTCTCTCGCCTATTTTAATATTTAGCAGACTACTTATAGTTGCAGATTAAAAAATGTAATATTTAGCCCAAAGAGAATAAACATGTAAAATTGTTAACATACAACATTTTGCACTAACAGTTGCGATATAATATTGAATCATCTCCAACAATTCTCTATTTAATTTCTATTATTATTTGTTTTGTTTTTACAGGGCCCCCTCTGAAATATGATCCTGAATTCAAAGGTCCAAGAAAGAGAAGATCATGCACAGATATTATATGCCTGTTCCTTTTCACAGGATTTGTCATTGCTTGGGTACTAGTTGGTATCTTTGGTAAGCATATAATTGTGGCCATTAACATTTATTTTGATATAATTTGCTATGTATGTTAACAATATTTAAATGCTATATGATCTGCTTCAAAAAAAAAAAAAAAAAAAAAGTGTAATATCCAAACTATACCAAAAATACTTCATTGTATATCTTAGCCATTTTGATTTGATATAACATTGAAACTGTATATTGTATTCTAAAAACATTTACTGATTTGTCAAAACCTAATTATTTGAAGGATTACTTATTGCAATTAATGCAACATTAAAAAAAATTATATATATATTTTTTTTTGTTATTGTAATTTACTGCCACCTGTAGAACTTGCACAAAAGTAAAAAAACAAAAACAAAGACTTTTTGAAATTTTATTTTTCAATGACTGATCCTCAGCCTATGCAAAATTCTTTTTACAAGTTAAAGAATTTAGCTGATAGTAATGATAGCATTTATTTCAATTTTTGTTAATACTATATCAATTGATTCAGTGATAAATTCTAACAATACACCAAGTTGAAAAAATATTTGTATTTTCTTTTTTAATTATTGGGTATCAAATTCAAATTATTTTTTAAACATTTTCCTCCCTTTTCAGCACTTAAAAAAGGTAACCCTGAAAAAATTTTAAGGCCAACAGATTCATCCGGTAGAAAATGTGGTTTGGATTCTGAAGTCATCGACCGGCCGTATTTATTTTTCTTTGACTTAACGAAATGTGCTGATCCGTCTGTAGTGCTCAATGGTTGTGACACACCACAGGTTCGACCCTTTATCAAGTTGATTTATTATGATTTCATTATTTATCAATAATATAGTCTTTTATTACATGTATTAAGTATATTTAATTTTTAATATATTATCGATAATTTCAGGTTTGTGTCAAAAAATGTCCGGAAACTCAGTGGAATGCTGAACAGTATATTAGTGGTGGCAAACCATTTGATCTCAATGATGTTCAAAATAATTTAATATGCATAAGTGATGCTATAAAAAGTAGTATTGTTGGTTTGTCTCAGCTGCGAAATGCTGTCAGCTCAAACCAGTGTGCTGGATGGTATACTGTCTCTACACCTTGTGAGTTTAGTTTATTCATTATATTTGATGCTCAATTTAATTTTATTTACGCATTGATAGTATTTATTTTTAAAAATTATTGCAATGTTGATATTCTGTTGTTTTTTTTTCATTGTCATGATTAATTAGTAAATATAACATTAATCAACGATTGATATCTCTGAAAGATATATATGGTGGAGCAATAAAAATCTACACTGTTTGCTCTGCAGATAAATAATGATTGAGTCAAAGTTTATGCGAGATATTGTCATTGTTGGTTTGGGAAAGGGAAGAATGAAAGGAGAATGGACTGACTATAGAAATATCTTCCCATAAAATCTAATAAGATCGGCATACAACCTGTGCAATAGCCCTAATTATTTACTTTGTTCATGCTGAAAAATGGATTAATACTACTTTATCAAAACAATATTTATCAGATCAATTTTCCCCTGCAAATTTCCTGGTGAAACTAGGAAAAGCAATGCCGAAATTCATGTTTTATTGAAAGTAATTGGAAGGAATTGTTTATTATCCACTCAGGGTTTTAGGAATTTAGATTGTTCAAACTATCATGAAAAGCAATTGTGAACACTTAGTTCCCAATATGGCTTTGCTAAAAAAAAACAAACAAACATAAAGGCCCGAATATATTGAGATCCTGAATAACCTCCATGAATGATTTAAAAAAAACAAGACCAGAATTGCATAAACAATTCTCAGAGTTTTTTTTTTTGTAGATTAACACTCTGACTTACACTGAACTGACTGGTTACAGATAACAAAAGATTTGCCTATTACTTTGAACTATAAAAGATTTTCCTGTATCATTATTTAAATTTTGGAAGGAAGTAAACCAAAGGAAATAGAGTTAAAATTGTGTAAGGAAATTCAAATAATTATTCATAGCACTTGTCTGAGATTTTTATAATATGACCATTATAAGGCGTATAAATAATAGATTGTTGCTGCCATATTGTAGTTAGTCATATTGAAATAACATATAGTAGTTAGATTTCTCAATTTTCTGGTATCAACTATTGTGTTTGTTTAAATATAATGTTTGAATATACTCTATGAATATACAATCATTTGTTGAGAACTTTTGAATTGTAAAATTACAAAAAGAGCCTTGTTATTTATTTATTTTTTAATAAGTTAACGTAGTTAGATGATCAGATGATTTATAATTATAAAGCTACCTATTTTAAATAAAACTTCCTGTTGGACTGCTCTAAATTTAAAACTGTGTGGCAATAGCAGATATATATATGTTACCATAATAATTCAGTTAAATGAATGTTCTTACTTTATTTTTTTTACCAAACCAAGTATAAATTCATCATTCTACTTTATTTCTGATCTCTAAATTTTTATTTTATTTTTTTTATAACATTGCTACATTCAATTTTTGTTATGTATCATTTTTAATTTCTTAACTAGTCATAAATTTATCAAACATCCAATTTAGAATTTGTATGATTATAGTCTTTTTGGTATATTAATTATTGTGTAACTATTTATCTCATTTCTCTAAATTATCAAGTTTAAATTGTGTAAGTCTATAAAATAGTTATTATGTTGTATTAATTTCCAGTCTGTTGATAGTGCATAGGCGCTGTATACCATCATTTATCAATAATACTGAGATTAGTTGGAAAACATTTAACAAGGAGATATCTCAGGCAATAATTACGCTTCGTGAAACTTTAAGTTCCTATACTCCAGCTGGCAAAATTAGTGAGGTATTAAAAGCATGCATCATTTCACTGAGCTTCAGTAGTGGTGCCGGATGTTCTGGTAGTTTCCAACTAATTTCTTGACAAATTTTCTATCCTCTATTTCACAAAACATACCGCTTCTATTATTAGATCCAATATAAAGTAACTAGGCGTTTAATACTTCAAAATTTTAATATATAGCACAATGATGAAAAAAATTTGATTTTTCATATTATACAATTAAACTTCCCTAACACAGACAGATATCAGTGGGAAATAAGTGAATGAGAAATTAAAATTAGTAAAAATATAGGAACTATCTTTATTAACCAGGCACTCTAGGACTCTTGCTCGGTTATCAATATACATAAATACAGGATCGTACATAAGATCTCTTTTTTCTCTTTTTTTTTGTTTGTTGTCTTGATACTCATTAGCAAATGAAGTGTATCATTCAACATAAGATGAAAAAACAATCAATTTTTATTTAATATTTTAATATTTAAAAAGTATTTTAAAAATATATATATAATTTTTTTAAAGTAGTAGATCAAGAAAATTTTCTAAAAGAAAACTGTTTACATTGTTTTTTGGGGTTTTAGAAATTAAATGGTAAATTTAAAATTGTATCAATAATTTTTATAAATATAATTTTTTTTTTTATGTAGTACTCATAAAATACAAACACAAGTAAGTAAATATAGCTGACTATAAATTTAAAAAACAGAATCTTTGATAACTATCCATAATTTTCAAAAGTAATTTATTTATTGTTTACATTTGGAGATCCTACTTATTTATAATAGAGAACTATCAAGAAATATTTTGTATATAAAATCTTCTATTTATTTGAATGACACTTTTCTATTATTATAACGAGCCCAAGAATTGTAAGACTGGATGTTTATCATTTAATTTTTCTCAAATTCTAGTTTTCATATTTATTATGTAATGTAAAGAAATGCATTATTATTTTGAAATGTTGTTTATATATACTGTAAAGATAAATTATTTTGTTTGCTGTATTTTCATTTATATTATGGCTTTACCATAACTGGCAGTAGAAATTTATCGATTTTGAATATTGAACTATTGAAATTATATACAACCAATATCGAATAAATTCTATTTAACATGAAGTAATATAACTACCGTAAACATATGCCGCTAAATAAAAATATGTATTGTATAATTTTATGCATGTCAGTTGTAATATTTTACCCACCAAGCACTAGCACTAATTAGTTCACAAAGCTACAAAAAATATATATATATTTAAAACGCTGTTTACCACATAATAATAATTCCTATTCAAATTTCAATATAATTAAGCATCATTGTCTCAACAAACCTCTTTGAAGTTCATTTTTTATGCATAAACTTTAGTCACAGTGATTGCAATGGATTATATTTTATCTTATTTTGCTTTAGATTTTCCATGCATTGCACAGTTTGCGTAATTTTAACTTTATAGGATTTGTTAGCCAAAATTTCAGGAATTGATTCTACTCTTTATTTGAATTTAAAAAAAAAATAATAATAATCACCGACTATAGTCCAACAGCTTCATAATTTTAGAGATAATTCAAGTTTTGTGATGTCTACCTTTGTTATGTGTTTTGTGTTTGAAAGATTTTTAGCTCCAACACTATGTTTTCAATTGTGTTACATTTTGATAAAGTTTGATAATAAATATAAATATTTAATACTGAATTACTGAAAAAATTATTGATTATCTCTCAAGTAAAAATTTCAATATAAGCAAGGAAAATCTGAAGTGTGTCTAAGTCATCTTATATTATTTTGCTAATTCCCACTTTTATCAATATCTATTATCAAAAAGATTTTATGATAGAATGTAATAAAAATACTTATAAGCATTAATACTTATAAGAAAATCATGATTATCAATCTGTATTTTAATTAGTTTTCTTAAATAAAAGTAGAACCAATAACTGAACATTTGCTTTTGTCATAAAACACTCCACTTTTTTTTTCAAATTTCAAGTGATTATTTACACCAAATGTACAAATGAAAATTCATACTTAAAGTCTGATAATATTAAGTTGCATTAAGGTTTATAATCAAATCTTAAATTCTTGGGCAGTTATAAATAATAACACCGCATGGAACTGAGTAGTTCTGCATGAGAAACACAAGGTTGAGGGGATCGTATCTGTTACAGTCCTGGACCGTTGCTTGCCTCTGCACGAATCACTACAAGACTATACTTGGCTGCGGAGTATACCTGTTCCTGATTCCTTGCCATTAATTATGAATGCTACACAACATTTAAAATATCTAGCTTATTCACAGCAGGTATACACCTCTCCTAATCTTACTCCTAATTTCTTAAAAATAAATTTATTTCTCTTTATATATTAAGAAAATAATCCTCTAATAGTTATACTATGTACATAATTTTGTAGGATTTAGTGTATGTATGTACTTTCTAATTGCATGAGCTCTCTTAAGTGTAAATAATTGCCCTATAGGTAGTTAAAAGTTCTTTATTTATAATGAGGTATGTATTTATTACAATAATAGTTTGTATTTTCTATTGATATAAGTTTTTATTAGCAACTGAATGAGTAATGATGAATTCAAATTATTGTTCACCTGTGAAATTTTGATGACTCCCAAATCATCTTTAGTGGATGATGTAAGTGAGTCAGCTTTTGAAAGCAAATGCTATGTTCAAAGATGTGCATTTTATGTTTGTTATTAATTATTTCTATAATGATTAAAGCAAGCACTCTAATGTAAGGTTGGTGTATTGGTAGAATTACAATAAATTTATAGTATACAATAGTTATTAGAGTGATGATTCACTTGTACTTTGAACGCAATACTTTTGCGCTGTTTGAATTTTAAATTAGTATCCCCCTTAGACATTTGGCACCCATTGACAATGACATCATTCTCCTCTAAAAAAAAATAAATTTATTTGTTAAGCTCTTATATATTAAGCAATATTTGAATTTTATTTCACTCAATATTGTTAGGAGTTATAAGGGTAATCTTTTGAAGTAAACAATTTAATAAAAACTCTTGAATAAAGAAATAAAAAATTCTTTATGTTACTTCTCTAAATCATTTATTAAATTCTTTAAATTCACTTTTTTTTTTTGTACTATTTAGTTAATAAAACTACTTTATTTGTCTTAAGATATACTTTTTTTCTTATCTTGGCTGCTAGAGAAATTTCTTAAATCACTTATTCTGTAGCAATCAGCTTCTGATTGTTTCATTCAAATACTCCTTTATCCTCCTGAAGATTAGGTTTGGAATGATCCTTAAAATAAACAATTATTTTGGTGAGAACTAGATTCAATAATCTAGTTCTATAAATCAATTTCCTTTCCATTTCCTTAAAATGCCCTCAGGCAGTGCAAGAACATAGCTAGCGGTATATATATGTTTATTATATTTTATTTATATGTGTAAATAGTTAAAATAAATTATGGAGGAAAAGAAAAATACATTTTTGAGAAGGAGTTGGTTGGGGGAGGAGGGGAGAAGAGGGGAGGTGTGGTTAAATGAACACTATATATCAAAATAGTATTTTATTGTTTGCACCTCGACGTTTCGACCCACTTTGTATGTATTCATAAGGATGTGGTATCGGGCACTGCAGAAAGCAGTTGGTAGAGTGCCCTGATGAAGACCTACAAAGTTGGTCAAAATGTTGGCATAAACAATCAAATACTATTTTGATATACAGTATTCATTTGAACACACCCCTGACCAACTCCTTCTCATATTATCACCATGGTCAACCATCTTTACACTACTAAAAATATATTTAGGAAAAACCGAATTTCAACTTTTCTGATTTAGATGATTACAATAAAGACCTCTACGACAGTTGTGGCAAACTTTAGTTATTTGATCATATTAAAGGTTTATTTGTTAATGTTTTAACCTAGAGAGATTTTTTTAAATATTCTGTGCTTGATAAAGAAGTAAAAAAGTTAAATTATATAAATTGCATGTGTCTTTATAATATGTTTATTGCAAATATAATGTTGGAATTTTTAATAGAAATTCAACATAAACATTTTTTCAAACTGTAGTCTAATTTAGTCAAAGCAAATACATGATAAGTGTACTATTATAATATTTTTATTTTTTTAAGAAAAAAGATTCTACATTAATGTCTAACAATATTGTAGGTTGGTTTGGACATATTTGAAGATCTGAAGACAGCTTGGAAAATAATACTTGCATCATTTTCTGTAGCAATAGTTGTCAGCCTCTTGTACATAACACTTTTAAGATGGATAGCTGGAATAATGACATGGCTTTCGATAATAGCACTGTTGGCATTGACAATAACAGGTATTTTATAAGTTTAAATTAAGATATTGCCAGATGTATTTTTTATATACAGTTGTAAATATCATATAAATAAATAAATAAAAAAAAATTAAGATAAAGATAAGGATAGAAAACATTTGAGAAATCATGTTTGCACTTAATATAATATAATAATTTTATTATTTTACAGCATCAATTTTTAGCTATATGAGATTTGACTATTTGAGAAATACTGAGCCACCAGAGGTTAAGAATAGAATGATAGTGGGGAAACTAGAAGAGCTTTCATATAAGCCTGCATTTTGGATTACGCTTACCGTGTTATTAGGAATTTTCGCATTAATTATTTTTCTACTTACTGTTTTTCTACGAAAACGAATAGCTGTTGCTGTAACTCTAATAAAAGAAGGAAGCAGGTATTTTATTTTAATTTATAATTATTTTTTAACAATCATTGATCATTATTATAATTCATTTGTTATTTGGTACAGAGCTGTGAGTAGCACAATATCATCATTGTTCTTTCCACTTTTTCCTTGGATTCTTCAGTGTGGTGTAGCCTTGTGGTTTCTAATATCTATATGCTACTTGATGAGTATAGGAAATGATGTTTTCATGGTGAGAGGGTTGGCTGAATCCTCATGTACATGTATTGGAGAATATTCAGTAAGTATCTATTTATTTTTTCATTTTCTTTTATTTGTTTCATTGCTTCAACTACCTAACATAGAGAAAGGTCAAAAAATGTTTCTTGAGATATAACTTAAAATTATTAAGAGAT